CGGCCGGTGTCCCTGCCCGGTGCCCACCCTCCGCACCTCTCAGCGGTCCCCCGCTGCTGACATGCCTCCTGCCGCGGGGGATTGTTGAGAAACAGCTGGGAAGAACGATCTATTCAAATGGGGTTTTATGCAGCTGTTTTAGACGATGTGGAAGCAGATCCACAATACGGTGTCCCTGGAAGAGGAGGTCGGTGGAACAGTCTGGGTTTTTTCACATGGAAACACACACGTGTATTGTCTTCACACAGTAGGTGCTCCGTGCGCACTTGCTGGGGGGCGGCTGGGGGCGCAGTTAGGGGCGTGGGTCCCTGTGCCGGTGGGTGCGCCTCTCTAGGAGCCCATGCGTGTGCCCTGCGACACGCGGAATACCTCCCACCTCCAGGGGGAGTCTGCCCCCTCCCCTGCGTTGGCACCTCCATCTGGGCGCCAGTGCTTTCCGGCCCCAGAGTTTAAAAAACGACCTTTGACTTCTAGGGCGCCTTATACTAGGCGTTGCATAGATTTGAATTTTCACGTTAAGCCAGGGGCCGGGCTCACGCTGCCCTCCCAGAGGAGCACCGCGGAGGGGCGTGGACTCAGGACAGAGTCGGGGGGCCGGGCCGGGGAGGCTTGCTGGCTGTGCAGGATGCGTCCTCTCCGTGCTCGGGCCTGGGCCGGCCTGTGTGCTCGCCGTGCCTGTGTTTGTCTGAGGCCCTTCGGTGCCTGATTTAAATACCCAGCCGAAAAGAAGGCTCTCAAGTCGACTTGGTGGGGGGAGGGAAAAACAGAGCTTGGAGAGGAGCTGGTTGATGGTGAGGAAAAGATGTTCCTAGAGAATGTCTTGAGGTCTGGAGAGAACAGCCTAGCTCCTCCTCTATCCGTCCCGCGGCCTGGGTGTGTGTGGAGGGCCCTGCCCGACAGCTTCCCGTGCAGAACCTCCTAGAAATGGAAGCCATGTTCCTGGACTCACACCCTCGGTCTCAGAAAGCTCCCGTGGACTTTCAGGGGCATCTGGCACCGTCTCAGCCCTTAGCTCTTGGATTTTTCTACGTCCAGTGACAAGCAGTGGAGGAAAGGGGCTCAGCCTCTCACCGCCTGGGCACGTAGTAGGTGCTTAATAACCGTTGCAAGAATGCGGGGTGGGGGCTGTTCTCTTGTCCTGAGAATGTGGATCGACAGCTTCGTTTTCCTCAGTAACATCTCTCCCTCTGAATCCCCCTAAACCTCAAAACAACTCGGAGAGGGAGGGAGGAGACGGATGGATTCCCCAGGGGTCCACATCCGCCTGTGGGCGTCTTCTCCGATCACCTCCAAGCATCTTCTCTTTCTGTCCTGGTCCTGCTGGTCCTCTTTCCTCTGCTGCTCCCTGGGACTGGAGCAGGCTGGCAGGAGGACACGGCTGGGCAGAGCAGATGTCCTTCTGTCCAGGGCCGGGACCTGAGCCCGTGCCTGGCGTGGCCGTCAGGTTTGGTTGCTTCCCCTTCTTCCTTAGTCATTTAAACAATCAAGGCACAAAAAGAAAACTAACGTCGGTAGGAGACACGATCATATCATAGGCTTATCTGAAGCTGTCAGGCCACTCGGGTTCCCAGAAATTAAATTATTTTAGAATTCCATCAAATGAAGGGAGGGCTCCCCTCTCCAGTTCCCGTCCCCTTGCCGCTTCCTCTCGCGGCCCCTCTCTCCTTGCCCACCCCTGCCTGCCAGTGAAAGATTTTCTGGCGGTGTCAAGGCAATGTGACCTGGTTCTGTAATAAAGAGGAGGCTTATTAGAATTAAGGCCTAACAGCGTTAAAAAAGCAATCTTTGCAAGATTGAGGCCACAGGGGAATTGTAAATTCTCGGCAAAGACCTCATTTAAGGATTGGAATAAAAACTTGACACGCATGTGCGGGTGTGCACACATGAAAGGGATCCTCACAAAACAAAAGAAGCTTGGTTAAAGGAAAAGAGAGCAAAGGGGAGGGGGAGGGGCGGGGGCAGGCAGGAGGATGGTGTGACTCTGTCCCTGGTCCAGTGCGGGGATCTCCTGGGTGGCACTTGCCCGCCACAAGGCGGCTGTCCTGTGCGGGTCTCTGTCTGCACCTGTGCCTCTCCCGGAGCCACAGCCACCCACCTCTGTCACCTGAGGCCTGTATCAGCCAAAGGGGCCTGCCCACCCCCGCCTGATGTGTGGGCGTCACCGTGCCAGACCGAGGGGCTGGGGCCCCTCCTCTCTCGGCTGGTCCCCCGGGGGTCAGCATTTCTTATCTGGTCGTCGCTGTGGCTTGGGGTCTGCTCGGGCAGGGGTTCGGGTGGTGCAGTGCGGTGTGTCTGGCTCCCGCTGGAGGTGAGGGGCAGGGAGGCAAACCTAAGGCGCTGCTGTCAGTGGGGAGCCAGGTCTGGATACGCCAAGAACACAGGTGCCTCTCCCTGTGGTCCTGGCCCTCCGGGGCCGCTCGAGCGGCACAGTGCAGGCCGGGCGGCTTGCAGACAGCACTCTGCATTTCTCTCTGTTTGGAGGCTGGAGTCCAAGGTCAGGGCACCGGCAGATTTGGGTGTGGTCAGGACCCGCTTCCTGGTTCATAGCTGGTGCTTCTTGCTGAGTGGCGTCCACTCAGACGGGAAGGAGCGAGGGAGCTCCCTGGAGTCTCTTTCATCAGGACGCTAACCCCTCCCCACCTAGTCACCTCCCAGAGGCCCCACCTCCTGACGCCAACACACTGGAGGTTAGGTTTCAGTGTATGGATTTGGAAGGGACACAGACACTGTCAAGGGTTATGGTTACTTCTTGCAGTGACCAGTCTCACGGTGGGGATGCTTGGAAACCTGGCCTTCAGGGGACAGGCTGGGGGCTGGAGGGGGTGGGGGCACATGCTCCCCACAAGTGGACAACCTGCCAGGACCACTGTGGGAGGGGGTCCCTTGGAGACCTGTGGGCTCAGCCCTCACCGGCTGTGTCTGTGGCCGTGGCGGTCAGTCCCGTGTGTGCTGGCAGCTCCTGCCCCAGGCACCCGTGCTTCTCTGCCCCTGAGCTTCCTCTGAAGGGGAAGGGGGCTCACTCAGGCTGCCAGCAGGGCTGTGGGGACTTTAATGTGCTAGGGGCAGCCCTCCACCCAGGGGGACGGGGTTAGCAGAAATCTCTCCCCAGCTTCCCTGCCTCCCTAGGGACAGGGGGCTGTCTGTGTTTCCCCAGAGGGCCCCCCTAGGAATCAAGCCGCAGCTGCCCACAGGGTGACCAGTTTGATAATAGTGTATAAACAGACAGATAAATTCACACATACACACTCTCAGCTGCTCTTCCATCCCTGGCTCAGGCTTCTGGGATCACAAGTCATCTGTACCCACGCCTGTCTCAGGCTGTACGTCAGGGGCTTCAAGCTGACCCAGCGACCCTGCAGGAAACCTGAATTCGGGAGGATGGAGAGGAACATGGGGCCCCTGTGGCGACTGCGCTGCCGTATCACTCTGTGCCTGCGCACAGTAGGTGCTCAGTGGACTGATGGCTCTGGGCACAGTGTCCTTGCCTCTCTGGGTGTTGGAGCCTGGCTGGGGGCTCTTCCTTTTGGGGCCAGGATTGTCGTGGGGAAGGTGTTCCCCTCACTCCAGAAACTCCAGAAGCGCAAAGTGGTTGTGCCGAGTACTCTCACCTGCAGAGTGCGGCCTCGGGAGTAGGCGGGCTCAGTCCTGCAGGGATGCCCAAAGCCTTGGCCCCGGGCTCCCTGGCCCTGGGGGGGACGCATCTCGATGGGTGCCAGGCCCCGAGACACCGGGCAGATGCTCGGGGTCTCTCTTGGTGCGCCTCTTGTGGTGGGACTCCTCATGCTCGGTTCTGGATCCGTGGCCCGGGACAGTGAGGTGGGGGAGGGTACATCCAGACCTGTGCTGAAAACACACTGGTGGAATTTTCGGGACGGGAACAGCTCCCTCCTCCCAGGGCCCAGGGGGGCCTCAGAAGTGGCTGTCTTCACAAGCCCTCAAAGGCTTGTTCTGTGCTCCTGGAAAATGGGACTCCGGGGATTTCTGGCAAGTCAGCTCCGTCTTGACCCCTCTCCTCTTGAGAAGTTCACTGAAGATTCCTCTGAGGTTTGGGTGGGTCCTTTTCCACGATGTGGGTCAGAGTGAGAATATTTCTCCCAGGGATGCGTGGATGTCCCTGTGTCTTCCTGTCCTGTCTGCTGGGTTCTGGGGCCATCTGGGTTCCGGGGAATGGAGGCGGAACCTCCAGGTGAGGTAGGAGAACAGGTTTCTCTACCTGCTTCGCTGTCAGTGGCCAAAATGACCTACTAAGAAGTACCTTTGACCTTCAGCTTTCTTTCCTGGGGGAGCCTTTCCTAAGGTCCAGGTGAGATGGATTTCCTTAGACTAAGGTGCCAGCCGGAAAGGGCCACCAGGAACGCAGTTTGCATTTCAGGCCATTAAAAAAACCCTGAGGGGGTTGGGAAGGAAACAACAGTCCCAAACTTGGCAGCAAATAGATTGCAATTTTTGGAAGCTTATCTGTGTGAAGAATGAGTTTTCAGCTCTGCAGGAATATTCATTTGCCTCTTAAACAAAGGGCAATTATATGCAATCCTTCTTTCCTTTTGTTGGCTTCCAGAGAAGGATCTGGAGTTGGTCCCTCCGCTGGAGTACCCACCCTCTTAAAAGGATAGGACGGGAAAGTTTCAGAAGGACTGTTCTTAGTTTACAGCATCGTGGTATATGTCTGTCACCCACCTGGGCCTGGTCGTCTGGTGTCCTTATCCCGAGCAATGACAGATCAGGACAGTAAATGAGTAATAAGTGTGTGTGTTGGGGAGCAGTGCAGTGGGGAGAGGAATCAGACAGGAGGGGCAGATTGGGGCAAACGTGAGACAGATGGAGGTGAAGAGGAAGCAGAAGCAGCCCCAGATGCCTGGCTTTCTCTCTGGGGGACCCCCAGGGAGCCCTGTGCCCCCGCCCCACCAGGAAGTGTGCCAGGAGGGAAGCGCAGCGGTGGGGAGGGAGCCCAAGGCTGCTCTTGTCCTCCTCCTCCTCTTTCCTTTTCTTTTTTATCTCAGGGCTTCATTCTCCAGAAGCTGTCATTTTACATAAACCTCTCACCAGGCACATCCATTCTCACGGCCAAAATCTCCATATCAAACACTGCTTCCACCATGGAACTGACAGCCCTCCCTACCCTGCATGGGGCCTCAGAGAGGCTGACAGGACAGACACCCCGTGCAGGGGCGACGCAGGACAGACTGAGTGGGTGACCCGGGAATGCCGCCAGTCCGTCCTTACCACCTTCCTCAGGCCTCCTGGGGGGATCCTTGCTCCTTCCTGACGTCTCTGATGGGTGTGCGTGGCCCGCATGCCCTCAGTGGGGGGCACACAGGAGCCTGGGAGTGGAGGGGAAGACCTGTGTCCCTCCAAAAAAAATACGTTGACATCCTAACCAGCAGTACCTCAGAATGTAATCTTATTTGAAAATAGAGTCTTTGCAGGGTAATTAGGTTAAAATCAGGTCATTAGGGTGGGCCTGATCCGATAGGACTGGCATTCTTACAAAAAGGGGTAGCTGGGAGACAACACGCTCAGAGGGAAGACCCGCCGTGTGCCCGGAGGCATGCGTCTGCCCAAGAAGGGCCACCAAGGACAGTTAGCAACCATGTGAAACCAGGACGGAGGCCTGGGACAGGATAGACCCTCGGAAGGAGCCAGCCTCGCCTGCGCCCTCCTCACCCCCAGACTGTGAAGGATCAATTTCGGCTGCCTTAAGGGTGTGGTCCTCTGATAGGGTCACCCCAGGACACTCACGTGGCCAGCTTGGAGGCATGGCCAAGTTTGGAACTGAGCTTCCAGGCCAGCAGCCCTGGCAGGCTGTTCACTTCTCAGGAAACAAACAGCGATGCTGAGGGGTCAGGTGGGTGTGGCTTCCTAGACCAAATAGTAATCCAGCTTGCAGATTCCTTTCTAAAAGAGGGATTGTCAGTCAACCCACCAACTATTGTTCGCTTTCCTGGCCGGGGGAGGCCCTGGGCTGGAGACCTGGAGTGGCTGAAGAAGGACACCAAGCTGCTCTCGGGAAGTCCTCAGTCCAGGCAACGAGAGGGGGCCCAGGAGGCCTTCTTACAGCGAGAGTTCCCTGCAGGAGTAAAAGACCAGTTGCCAAGTTCAAGAGAGCACACATGAGAAAGTGCCCAGGGTGAGGCCCTGGCCCACGTTCAGGCTCAAAAGTATTTGTGAACATTATTGTGAGCTCAAGAGCCGGAGCTGGGTGGCCTGCCCCGCCTAACCCCACAACCTGGAAACTCCTACTCATGCTTCAAGACCCAACTCAAATGTCCCCTTCTCCCATGAAGTGGTCCTGCCCTGATTCCTCCAGGGGCTCCTTCATGTGTTCTCCCATGCCTCCAGGTGGGACCCGGACTGGGGGTCCTATAATTTCCTGGCAGCATACCCTATTCTTCCTCTGGGTGCCCAGCCCTTTCTATGGCTGCATTTCCCAAGCTGTGGTCCCTGGACCCCTTGTAATGGAAACCTGAACAGTGCAGGTTCCCAGGCCAGACTCCACCCCTGGCCAACAGAGACAGCAGTAACCAGCTCCCTCGGAAGTCCCAGAGGACACTGTGTGTTAAGGCTGGAGGGTGGGGTTAGGTGGCATCCAGGTAGACTTCTGAGGTGTCGTCCCTGACCGGTGCTTGTGGGAGAGACTTTCAAGTCAGCCCTCTGCTTGGCTGGGTGACTTCTGCAGCCCTGGGCTGGAGGACCTGGCTGGGCAGCCCCACGAGTTGGTAGATAAGGCTGGTGTTCTGGTCATGACACTGTGGTTACTTTTCTCCCTATCTCTCCGCCCCCTACCCCTGAGCAGGAGGATTGGCCCATCACTGTGGTTGGAGCATCACAGGACTCTAAGTTACGATTAAAACAGCAGAAGCCCTGCAGGTGCCTCTGGCAAAGAACTGCAAAGTGGGGCTTTGAAATCAGGCTGTCCCTGACCACTGGCCCTGCACCCCTCACAAGAATGATTTGAGGACCACGCATGACAGTGTGTGTGCAGGGGCGCCGGCTGTACAGTGGCCCATGATGTCCCCAGCATCACCCTCTCCTCACACCATCTCCTCGTTCTGGGGGCTGGAGGGGGTCTTGCAGAGCTGATGCACCGAAGGGTGGATGTTCTGGGTCTGTGTTGTTCATTTTTCTGCCTTGCACGCACCTGCCACATAATTTTTGGGACTGGCCAGTCATTGAGTTGATTTCAAACGGCCATGCCAGGACAAGTTTCTCCATCTGCAGCAGCAAAAGGGGGGAAAATTTTTTTTTCCAAACCTCCAGCATGGAATTTTCCCAGTTACTTTAAATAAGTTTTACTTATTTGTGCTGTGCATTCAGATAAGAATTACCAGCCTTGCACAGATGCAAATTCAGAGTTGTAAAAGGAATATTGACAGCAGTTGCAACCACATCACCATCTCTCCTGCGATCAAATGCCCTGGCTGCTGTCAGAGGAAAATGTAGCATTTGAAAAGCTGCAAGAGAACACACTCTCCAACAAACAAAACAAGCCTCTCTGGAGGAACGCAGGAGAGGATGCTTCTGAGAACTCTGCAGGGACATTCCAAACAGCTCCTTACATTTCTGATTGAAAATATATTAAAAGAAAAATTTAAACCAAAGATCTCACCAAGTAAATCAATTATAAAGCATGCCAGACTGAATTTAGCTGCATGTCTCTGTTGGGTTCTGTCTAATACTGAGAAGCAGGATGAAGTTGTGGAGCTTCCTGCCTTTAGGGGGAAGAGTGTATGAGTTAGCTACTGCTGTATAACAGACATGCCCCAGATACAGAAGCTTGAAACAACTCTTTTTCCTTCTTGCTCAGTCAGACCATGTCCATAGCCTCCCAGCTGCCTGGACACGCCTAGGCTGCAGAGTAGGGGATTGAGGATCGGGTGGCCAGAGGCTCACTAAAAAATGCAAATATGATCATATTGATTCAATGCTTAGAATGCTTTACATTCTCAGGATAAGCACAAAAATCCTGAGGGGCTTCTTTTAGCTGACCTCACAGCCATCTCAGAGCCATCCTGCCTCCTGGCCTTTCAGTTCCTCAGACAGGCTGCACTCCTCCGAGCCTCAGGGCCTTTGCACAGGCCTCCCTTCTGCTTGGAGTGCTCACTCTTCCTTTCCCCCTTTGCCTTGTCACTAATCCCATTAGTCTTCAGAGCTCAGTTCATAAGTCACTTGTCTAAGGAAGACTTCCCTGGCTGTCCCCACCCAGAGGTCCCAGCTAGCTTTTCCTGTCCCCCCTGCAGGGCTCCCTGTAGCTCTGACTACGGCTGCAGTGCAGTTGCTGTGTTGCATTGATGCCTTCTGTAGGCTGTCTGTCTGAGTCATCACTGTGTCCCAGAGGGTGCATGGTGCCTGCTCCCAAAAGGCCCAATAAACAATTGAGATCAGTGGATGAATGTGTCAGGGATGACCACATACATCAGCTCATTGGGTCCTGAAGACAGCCCAGTGACATGGGCCTCCTTGGTCCTGCTTTACTGAGAAGCAACTGAGAAACAGGAGGAAGGGGGGCTGGAGCGATGCCACTTCAGTCCAGAGGGGGTCCCCTCCCTGCAGCGTCCCGTGCTGACTTGCTGGAGTTCCATTGTGCATTTTTTGGGGTTTGGGTCTCTAGTCCCTGACAGGGACCCTTAGGAACGGAGTCTTGCCTGTCCCCTGCCTTGCCCATGACAGCTCGTCCCCGGAAAGCATTGCCCTGAGGTGGGGGCACAGCAGGCCATTCCGGGCACAAGTGTCCCACGGCTCTGGTTGAGGCTGGACTAAAGAATGACCACTTTCTCAGAAACCACATCTGGCCACATCCCATGTGGCTGTCACACAGTGGTGGCTGCTCACTACTCAGGTACCTCCAGGAAATCCATCTTGAGCTGCATTTTATTGAGAAGAGAAAGCTCTTGTTTGCTACCCCCAAGTCATCAGTGAAGGGCAAAGGGAGGCGTGGAGAGGTGGGAGGGGAGCACACACGGGGAAGTGGGAGGCGAACACTCACTCTTCCAAGGTCGGATATGTGCACGCACACACACCTGTGCACACACATGCACGCTCAGACATGCATGTGTGTGTGTTCAGGGCTGTAGCAGAGGGGCTACCTGGCCTCAGGGTCAGCACAGTTCTTTAAGAGAAGGTTCTCCAAAGTGGCCCTGGTCCCATGGCAGCATCCATGGGAACCAAGCCAAGTCCCTTCTGGGCCCAGCTTCCCAGGGCCTTGGAACCGCCAGCAGTCTCCCTTGCCAGGTCCGGAGCAGGTGGCACCTGCTCCCCCAGGCTGTGTGGGCATGGGAACAGCCCTTGTCCCCTCCCTATTGGGAGGCCAGATGGAAATCCGGTCCTGTGTCTCGTGTGATGGGGAGGGCCCCTGTGACCTGGGGCTGAGGTGGGCCAGAGAGCACCTCTAAGACCCGTGTCCCTCTTTAAAGAAGGCGTTTCCTTTCCTTGGTGCACAGTGAGTGGAAGCCGAGCAGCTGAGCCATTTGGTGACTCTCTGAGCATCCCTCTCGCTTGGTATCCTCTGTTCTCTTTCGCCCGAGGCGTATTAGTGTGTCAGCTCCCGGGATTGCAGTCGGCCCTGCCTTCCCTTCACTGGGGTCAGCAGAAATGTGGACGAGGCAGGGAGAGGGTGCGCACTGGAAGAATGGTCAGATGAACCCAAGCCTGGGTGTAAGTCTTCCTCCCTGACTCTGGAAGCCCAGCGGCATCTAAGACGTCCTAATGCACTAGTGGCTTTCAGTCTCCATTGGCCTTGGGTCAGCCTTGTTAAGACAGACTCTTTTTTTTTTTAATTGAAGTGCAGTCAGTTATAATGTGTCGATTTCTGGTGCACAGCGCAGTGTCCCAGTCATGCATGTATACACATATATTCGTTTTCATATTAGACAGACTCACTTTTGATCACAAATATTCGACACCTCCCTCCCTACTCCTGTGGAATTCCAGTGTGACCACATGAGCTTCTGGGTCAGTAACCAAAGTTATTGATGTGTGCCTCAATGTCACATTTGTCACTTCCAGGCAGGAGGTTAGGATGGAGTGTGGGTTCACTCTGCACTCCTTCCTCTGACATTACCACCATGAATGTTCCAGATAGAGGTCATTTTGTCAGCCTGGGTGTGAGCAGCTCAGTGGACCAGTGATGGAAATGTAGTGTGAGCAAGAAAGGTCTTTGCTGTTAAAGCGATTGTCACTCTGTGACCTTTGTTACAGCGGCAGAACCTCCCCTCCCCTGGCTGACGTGGGCCGCCTCCCGAAGTCCCAGCCTGGCGGGGGTGCCAGCACCTCAGCCTTGCTGTTTAGTTCAGTGGGCACCTGCTGAACCATCTGGTCTGTGCCCAGTGTGGTGTGGGCTATTAGGTGGCGTTGGGCTCGGTCTTTGGTCTGTTGGAGTTGACTGGTTGGGTGGGGGTGAACTTTCAAATCTGTGAAGTAGGACGTGGTTCAGGGTGGACTGATGAGCCCTTGGCCAATGGATAGAACTTGGATCATCAAAGAAACAAGAAGGAAGAAGAGAAAGAGGAGGAGATGGTGGGCTGGAGCTGGGGATGGGCAGTAGGTGGTGTCCAGCAAATTCCAGGCAGGACAAATAAGCGAACAAGTGGAGAGAGGCCTGGGCGTGCAGGCCTGGAGGACGTCGGGAGACCTGGCGTGCTCGGAGAGCTGCAGTCCACGGGCTGCCCTTGAGACCGGCAGTCCTGTGGCCCCAGTCCCCCTTTAGGGATGGGAAACGGACATCCAGTGCAGCTCTGGAGGTCAGCAGACACCGGGGCCACGGAGCTTGTGCACTGGGTCGACCAGGCCCCACCACGCTTCCTGACAGCCCATTCAGCCTATGGCAGAGAGCCAGGGCACTCCCGGGGCCCCGTCCCCCCTGTTTCTTGGAGAAGGAAACTAGCCCGGAGCTTGGCCCTCCTCTTCCCCTTCCCCCTCTTCCCCTCCATATGGTGGGTCTCCCCCTCGGTGCAGCCTCTGGTTCAGCCTCTGGGGTCCCTCCTGCTTCCCCACCTCCTGCCTGTCCTTCCCAGAGCGGATCCCAAGGCCAGGTGTTGTGGAAACGGTCTGCAGAACAGTGGCTTCCCGTGGAAATCCAGGGAAAATGGCACGTGAATGTCAAGGCCAGAAAA